GGATATCTCTATTTATATCGATAATAAAATTGCTGAGAACTACACAAATGGAGAAATTAAGAACTAGTGTAGATATATTCCTAAATGATCATACTCATGTCTAGACAAAAAAATTTTTTAATTTGTAATTTCTTGTGAATTTACACTTGTGATTATACAAATGTAAAAATAAGCAGGTCTTTTAGTATTTCAGCATAGCCAATTCTTTACAAAAAAATAGTTTTGCTATTTAGTAACTGATGTGCTACTTATTTTGTTCATTCGTTTTTTAAATTAGAGTTAAGACATTGAATTAATGTCTAAAGGCCACGATGGTAGGGGATGTGGGGATGTGAAAGCAGCAAACATGGGTTTGGTACGTGGGCTGGGGCACTGGTGGAGTTTTACACTCCTAACAAGACCTAGTGCTGCCTTTTTAGTAGTAAGTCTGTCCACCTTGGAAACTTTTGCACCTAGAAAAGTGAGGTATTTAGCTACCTCAAAAATGTTTCTTAAATAAATGAATGCCTAAGCTTTCTTTATCCACTTAAATGATCACAATGAGAGTATTACCCATCCTCCAGAAAAATTTAATAGCAATCCTTCAGAACTTAGCTAACAACTAAAATGTCTGTTACAGAATAGTATGAAGACTATTTGCCTCCTAAAAAACAAGTGCTAGACAAGAGTTAAGTATGTGCACAAAAATACAATTAGAATGAAGTGTTCAGAAATAGCTCTTTAGCCTAGGCTCAGATTCCCCCCCTCCACCCCCCTTCCCAGCCTCCATGAAAAGTGCCACCTTGTGGAATATACTGGAATAAAACAAGAAAGCTCATCTTAGGAGAGTGTGGATTTTAAAAGACCTTGTATCTCTTTTCCTTACAATATTAACTTCCAATTGCTGTAACAGAACTTAAATTGCTGCCTGAAAAAAGCCATTATTTCTTTTCAGGTGGCTCTTGTTTTCTTCTTGAAGGCCAGAGCACCAGTATCAAGGAAACAAGTTATGTTGATGCAAGTCTATTCATTTATCTAAATGAACTCCCTGGATTGCTGAGAAATAGCCCATTCATACGTCATTAAAAAAACACACAAACGAAAACAACTAACTGAGAAAATCAGAACCCTCCTCTTTTTGTTTTTTTCCAAAGGTCAGATGATAGAAAAGGCCAAAAGAATATTTTTGGTTTATTTTCTGAAAAAGCAGATGTTAGAAATGCTTGAGATATAGGTATGTAACAAAACTAGGCTGAAAACTGCATTGATAAGAAATGGAAATGCCGTTTTCTTATGCTTTTGAGGAAAACACCATTACTATTCTTCTGAGGACTCACATTGCTTGACAGCTTTTTGGTCACCTCAGGAAGTTTCTCCACTGCGGAGAAGAAATATGGAACTATCTTCCTACTCATATATCTGCATGCATTAAATGCATGTGCACATGGTAAATGGTTTGGGTTTCACAATGATTCAAAAGTCCTGGTGGCATAGGAAGCACATGCCTTTTCAAAATTTACTTTTTTATTTATTTATTTTTTTTAAAAAGAACAAACAAACTTAAAAAAGCCTAACAAGTGTAGCTTCATATGGCTGCTTTTTTCCATGAAATGAGAAAGGAATACAGATGGTTTAGTTTGCTCGGCTCAACTTTTGAAATGGTAATTGTTTGAAATGGCTTTTCCAAGTTCATAGTTGTGAGATAACTTCAATATCAATTCTTACAATATGTTTGTTAAAATATATGTCCCTCAAAATATATTTCACTTTGAAACATTCTTCTTTAAATACCTTCATTTTCTTTAGAATTTCCTCTATTGATAGCTTGCTCTTTTTTTTGATTTTTAAAGAATCAGAAATCATTTAATATCTTTATTTTTATATCACAATGTAAAACATGCATTCTTATGAATTCTAACAATAGCTATGAATTGATAACATTTCAGTATTTTCTTGCCAAAGTAGATATTCTATAGTCTCTATATCAACGTCATTAAGTAATTCTCGGGGGTTATTAAACTTTTAACATTATTCTTTCTTAGAGCCAAGTATGCAACACAGCCTGCTTTTGGAAAATGTGTGATAACTCTAATATGTTTATCATAAAAATAGTCAAGTTGTCACTTAAAAGAAACGAAGCAATTCTTTCGAGAGAAGAAATTTAGTATGTTTATATTAGGAAGCTTACATGATTAAATTTCCTTAACGGGTAGAAATTGCCCTAACTGACTCTTACTGGCACTACTTCTAAGAGAAGGAGCTATAGTTAGTTAAAAGCTCATTTTAAATACATAATTTAAGATTCAAAATGTTTGTACAATTTAAGTGTTTTTCTCATCATTATGGATAGGACCACACCATGGAGTCACACTATAAATTTCTCTATTAAAAAGTACGTTTTCTTTAAAATATTAACATCCTGTGCATTCTGAAATATTCATTTTTACTTAAAACTAAAAGGCTGAGATTCTATTCTTAGGTGAATGTTTTGAACTATTTTTAGTAAGTCACCTGGGGCTAAACGAAAAGCCTGCCATTCACAGTGCGTGTTTCCTGAGAGAAAATCATGAGAATGAAAGAATCTGAAGTGGCCCAGAGCTTTCCTCCAAAACTGGTTCTCTGCTCCTTGAGTTCCCACCCACTTCAAAGGAGAGATGAAGTGGGAGGCTCCAATGCACCTGATTCTTACAAGCTCTTACAAATTGTGTTTTTAACGCGATAGGGTCAGGGGTTTATTAACCTTTGCCACGCAACAGCTAACTATTATGACTAAAGGGGCAAGTTTCTCCTTTACTCGTTGTAAATGTACGTTTTAAGAAGTCTACTCTGCACAACAGTTCCCACAATGCCTGGGCTGCCAGGACAGAATATGATATAGAAACTATTATGTACACTCTTGGACCAGTCCTAGAGAGTAATTCAAATGTGATTTCAAACCGCTCACCATATTTCTACTGCTATAAGCTGCTTCCAGGTAACTCTGGGCAGTCTGACCTTTGCAGCTGACCACTGCCTAGCTTCTGGCAAAGATGTCTGAAAACATATGTCACAGAAGAATGCGCTGCATTCAGGAAGTTTGCACTCTGCTATATGCTTCCAAGAACCTAACGGCAAGGGCGCTTGTGTGGGATCTGGATTTCAGACGTGGTGAGCCTGATGGAAATAACAGAAAACAAGAGAGTAATCATTCAAGTGTCACAGCCACAATCATGGAAGAGCTGGGGCAGACTCTTAACAAGTTCAGAGAGGCTGAGATGCCCTCTCATTTTGCCTCGCAGAGGATAATCTGCCAAGGATCTAATACCTTAAAGTTTATGCTTTAAATTTTCTTTATATACACTACTGAGAAATGACCCCAAAGCATATGCTAGAAATAAAAGTTGAGCTCTTATTTGTTTAAAATTCTAAAGAATGCTGAAAAAATTCCAGTTTAGAACAGCTGCATTTTTCTAGAGCAAACTTGTGAAAACTTTTGCAAAAGCAAAAACTCAAGTTATGTTCACTCTAGCCATGAATACTAACAGAAAAGCTCATAATCAATCAGTGCAGTGAGTTTTAAAATTCAATTTCTAGGCCCCAGTAAAAACATCTTTGTATATTGCTCCCAACCAAAAGAAAAGGCAGAACTCACATTTCCATGGGAGAATGCTCGTCTACTTAGTCCTAAATGCTCTGGATTCATTATATCTCAAGCATTTACAGGGGTGACAAAACATAATGCTGTCACAATGAAGACAGTGTAAAATATTTCTTATGGCCCATCTTCTCATCCGTGTCTTTATTTTATTTATTTTTAAAAAATATGTTTTTATTGATTTCAGAGAGGAAGGGACAGGGAGAGATAGAAACATCAATGAAGATAATCATTGATTGGCTGCCTCCTGCACGCCCCCTACTGGAGATCAAGCCTGCAACCTAGGTATGTGCCCTGACCAGGAACTGAACTGTGATCTCCTGGTTCATAGGGCAACACCATATCTTAGTTTAGAATAATTTTCCTGCTCTTCAAGTTACTGAATCAGAACACTATTAAAAAAATGGATTAAAAAAAGAATGGTTCCTGATCCGAAAAACTGTCAAGGAGAAAACTCCCAATTTTTCTCTTGTTCAAGATAGTCACAATATTAAGCTGTGAGGAATTCGGTAAGGCTTGACTACACACAAACATCACCTGGAATATTTTCTACTCAGCGAAGCAATGTCCATTCATTGAAAGCTCTAACCCTAAAACATGGTCTAATGGTTGCATGAACTCAAAACATGAGTCAGAAGGCAAAGTAGCTAAAATTCCTCAAACATACTTACTCGGTGTCTTCTGCTTATTAGAGCCCAAAGAGCACTCACCACAAATAAGGCAGAGATGGCGTGAACTATAAAGTATCTACAGAGGAAATGGCAAGAGGAAGAGTAAAGCTATTCACAATGCCCGAGTCAGGCTGGCTCCGCAGAGAGCAGGAGTGTGCACGAGGCACTGGAAGTGGGCACAGCCTGAAGGAAGGAGGAAAGATTAGAGTAAATATTTCTTTCTAAAAAAAAAATAGTTAAAAGATATTCCCTCAGATACTACACTGACAATATACTCCATAAAAACGTAAAACACGAAGTAACAGTTTAAAGCCATCTATGTGCTGGTGATAGAGAAGAACCAGTCTTCCACTCATTGTCTAGGTAACAACGGGGACTGACAGGTGGGAAGATTGCATTAGAGTGAGAGTATAGGGACCCTGGTAGGGATCGTGGAATTAGAGCCATAAACCATAAGCTGAATCTATTTATGAAAGGTTCATTGAGAGAAAGAAGAAAGTGCATGCAAACAGGTTAAGTAATCTGTCATCGGTAATGTAAGGGCAGTAATATTTATCAGAGGCGCTGGGGGACAGGGAAGATGGACACTTCGCAAACAAGGCAGTGCATTGTAGAAAAAGTACAGTGTCACAGGTGGGAAAGCTCAAATGGCATTCC